TTACACTGAGGGATTTAAAAGAGATGTAGATCACTAGTGTAAATGAATGTAAGTTTTGTTTATGCTTATGTTTCTGTATTGACGATGACATCCCAAATGTTTTAAAATGGATAAAAATACATTTCTTCGGAAATGCTTTGATAACGTATTTATCATGTTTTTCTAGGAACAAATTCCGCAACATTTTTATTAAAAGAGGTACTCTGATTTTTATAAAGCATAAACAAAATCGGTCTTTTCTGACCGTGAAAAATGGGGATGTCACAATATATATATATCTATATATATATATATATATATATATATATATATATATATATATATATATATATATATATTATAGACAAAAACCATGTGCTTGAAAAACTACCAACGCTTGATTCTAGTCTTCATTATACATATATACATATGACTGAATCAAATATGGTAATCAAAGGAAAAAATTGTGATCCTGGGACATTCAGTTTATGGCATGATAGGTTGGGCCACCCAGGATTAACAATGATGCGAAGGATAATTGAGAATACACATGGGCATCCATTGAAGGACCAAAATTTCCCTCAATCCAATAGCATAAAACCATGTACATCTTGTTCCCTTGGAAAGTTAATTATAAAACATTCTCCAGTGAAAGTTGAAAGGGAGTCACCTAGATTTCTAGAAAGAATTCAAGGTGATATATGTGGACCGATTCACCCACCATCTGGACCATTTAGATACTTTATGGTCTTAATAGATGTATCCAACAAATGGTCCCATGTTTACCTATTATCAACTCGTAATATGGCATTTGCAAAGTTTCTTGCCCAAATTATTAAATTAAGTGCACATTTTCCTGATTATACTATCAAAAGAGTGAGACTTGATAATGCTGGTGAATTTACTTCACATGCGTTTAATGACTATTGCATGTCTGTAGGAATTGTTGTTGAACATCCACTTGTTCATGTACACACACAAAATGGTTTAGCTGAATCACTGATTAAACGTCTCTAGCTAATAGCTAGATCATTAATAATGAGGACCAAACTTCCTGTTTCTGTTTGGGGTCATACAATCTTACATGCTGGATCATTGATACGCATTTGACCAAGTTCATATCATGTATATTCTCCCTACAACTTGCTTTTGGTCAAGATCCAAATATATCCCATTTGAGAATTTTTGGGTGTACAGTATATGTCTCTATTGCACCACCTCAACAAAGAAAAATGGGTCCTTAAAGAAGGTTAGGAATATATGTTGGTTATGAGTCAATCTCTATTATAAGATATCTTGAACCATTAACATGTGATGTTTTTACAGCACGCCTAGCAGATTGCCAATTTGACGAGGCAAATTTCCCATCATTAGGGGGAGAAAAGAAGATTCTAAAAAAGGATGTGTCATGGAATGAGCCTTCTTTTTCATATCTTGACCCTCACACAAAGCAATGTGAAATGGAAGTTCAAAAGATAATGCATTTCCAAGAAATGGAAAATCAATTACCTGATGCATTTACTGACACAAAAAGGGTGACTAAATCATATATACCAGCTATCAATGTTCCTGCTCGAATTGAAATTCCACATGGGCAATCTGATGATAAAGTCACTCGAGAGTCTAAAACACGCCTGAAGCGTGGAAGGTCATTTGGTTCTAAAGATAATAATCCACGAAAAAGAAGAGGAGCAGAAAATGCACTTGCTCATGAGGAAAATGTTCCTGGAGAAACACGAATTATTCAAATTCCCCCATGAATGGAGGATGATGCACAAAATTATGGTCAAACAAACAGAATATGTGACCAGAATGAAACTGACAATATAAGTGCAATATTTTCTTATTCCGTTGCATCTGATATTATGAATGATGATCCTGAACCACAGTCTGTCATTGAATGTCAAAGAAGAAATGATTGGCCTAAATGGAAGGAAGCTATGCAAGTTGAACTAAATTCTCTTAACAAGAGAAAGGTTTTTGGGACCATTATCCTCACACCAGGAGTTGTGAAACCATTAGCTTATAGACGGATATTCGTACGAAAAAGAAATGAGAAAGACGAAATTGTAAGATACAAAGCCAGGCTTGTTGCTCAAGGTTTCTCTCAAATACCTGGAATTGATTATGACGAAACTTATTCACCGGTAATGGATGCAACCACTTTTAAATATTTAATCAACTTGGCAGTCTGTAAAAATTTAGAGATTCGCCTTATGGATGTTGTTACAGCTTACTTGTATGGATCACTTGATAGTGATATCTATATGAAAATCCCTGAAGGATTTAAAATGCCTGAAGCATTAAGTGCAAAACCCAAAGAAATGTATTCTATAAAATTACAAAGATCTTTGTATGGGTTAAAGCAATCTGGACGCATGTGGTACAATCGTTTGAGCAATTATTTGACAAACAAAGGTTATAAAAATAACACTATTTGTCCATGTGTATTTATTAAGAAAACAACATCCGAGTATATGATCATAGCGGTCTATGTTGATGATCTAAACATCATTGGAACGAATAAAGAAATCCTTGAAGTGATTGAACTTTTAAAGAAAGAATTTGAAATGAAAGATCTTGGAAAAACCAAATATTGTCTTGGTTTGTAGATTGAGCATATGCCTAACGGAATACTTGTGCATCAATCAAATTATACATAAAGAGTCTTGAAACGTTTCAATATGAACAATACCAATCCTTTAAGCACTCCAATGGTTGTTAGATCAGTAAATATTGACAATGATCCATTTCTTCCATGCGAAGAAAATGAAGAAGTTCTTGGTTCAGAAGTACCATATCTAAATGCAATTAGAGCTCTTATGCATCTTACCAATTGTACTAGACCTAACATTTCTTTCGTTGTAAACTTGCTAGCAAGATTTAGTTCAGCCCCAACAAAAAGACATTGGAATGGAATCAAACATATTTTTCGATACCTTCGAGGAACTAGTGATTTAGGGCTATTTTATCCTAACAATTCAAAAGAAGGCTTGATTGGTTATGTAGATGCAGGTTATTTGTCTGATCCTCATAAAGCTAGATCTTAAACTGGATACGTATTCATGAATTGAGGTACTGTAATTTCCTGGCGTTCTCAAAAGCAAACACTTGTTGCCACATCCTCAAATCATGCTGAACTAATTGCACTAAATGAAGCTAGTAGAGAATGTACATGGTTAAGATCGATGACACAACTAGTTTTAACTTCATGTGGACTTGAAAATGATATAGGTCCAACTTTAATTTATGAAGATAACTCGGCATGTGTCACTCAAATGAAAGAATGATATATCAAGAGCGACAGGACAAAACCTATACCTCCAAAAAATTTTGAGTACACTCAAGAGCTTATAAAGAATCATCAAGTTGAAATCAAATATATTCAATCCAGCAACAATGCAGCAAACCTTTTTACAAAGGCACTTCATACTGCACCTTCAGGAAACATGTACATGATATCGGAATGCGACATCTGCATAGAATATAATGTACCAGATGTCTAAATAAGGGGGAGTCAATTATACACTGCACTCTTTTTCCCTTCGCTAAAGTTTTTTCTCATTGGGTTTTCTTTAGCAAGTTTTTTAATGAGACAGTACTTCAAAATTGATCTCTAATATGAAATGATGTCATCCAAGGGGGAGTGTTGCAAATAATTGGTGGATGACACAATAATTGGTGCATGGTAAAACATTTCTTACTAGTCACCATTAAATGTGGATAGTAACATTTTCGTAGTATATATATACCCTTCTATTGTAAAGAATTGGATGCACGATGATATACATTTTCACAAGATAAAATATTTCATATTCCTTCTAAATCTTCTTTCTTCTCCATCAAATTTCTTTATCAAAGCTACTAGTTTGGTTTGGTTTAAAGTTATATTAATTACGCTTAATTTATGACAATAACCATATTATTTCACTAAAAATCAGGGCGCTATTTTTTTGGGGCCTATGCAGTTGCACGCACACCGTATGGCCGCACATGCCGGGGCCTAGAGGTACAAACAAAAAAAAGTACATAAAAAATGTCGACTCGTGATCAAATTACATTCTTGAAGAGGGTTATAGCACCGATCCTTGTTGATCGGGCGACCGACAAAAATGTTGTCCTCAACTTCTGGGCCCCTTTGAATAAATTACAGATCATAGATGACTCGATGTCATGTTTATTAAGATTAACCATGGTAGGGAGCTTCCGGTGAATGAACCTGATTCAAGAATGTTAGTTTTCCTAGAACCAGTAGATTCCAATGCCATACAACATTTCATGAATAAGAACCAATGAGTCCGCCAATTTATCCTATTAGTGGAGACGACTCATAGGATAAATTTGCGTTGGGCTCTAAATTTGGTAAAATAATAACACGTACTATGCATGTAATTTTACACCTGATATAAAAGTCATAAGGTACCGAATAATTATGACCAAGAAGTCTAAGATAATGGTTGATTAAGTCACTCAACGTTTCATGTTTAAAAAATTGAAAATGGTGAAACAAATACTAATCATCTAATACATCCATTATCGGATTTTACTTCTTTTGCTTCTCTTTTTTGTCCCCGTGAAAAGATTGTTGGTAGACCTCGCAAGTAGTCGCCAAGTCTAACAATTCCAGATTTTCGACACACATTTCCATGTCACATATGAGAGAAGCAGAATTAAAGTTCACTATTCTTGACTGCACCCCCATCTTAGGATTATAAACATGGGCCTCACCCAAGCAAGTTTTGAGCAACAAATCACCATTGCTGGTTGATTGCAAAACTCTCTTCAATCGTCCTTGAACTTTATTTCTTTCCGATCTAAAAACCACAAACCAAGAAGCATCTCTCCTCACCCAAATCCATGTATCATCATGATGCATGTTAGAAATCACAGCTAGAGAACCTTGGATGGTTGTTAGTTGTCTTTTTTTCATATCGGGTTCTGGCAACGCAAACATACCAAAAATATGGGTGCTTAAATCAAATGTCAGTATATAACGACTGTGTACCGCAGTTAGTTCAGCATTATAACGTTCTACCAACCAATGCAATGCTCCATTCAGAAAACACGCTTTTGAAGCCACCTTCGTATACAAAATGAGTAGGAGGAGCAATCGTACACCAAGCACGTGTCTTGATGTTGTAAACAAATGATGAATCTTCTATGATGCTTCCACAGTTGGGATTGGGTATACTCACAATCTTGTAACATTCAGTAATTGGGTCGAAACCAAACCCGATCTCTACCATGTAATAGCATCTCCAAGGACAATCAGGCAAGGTTATTTTGCATCTAATTGAAGGGTTCCATAGACTAATACGGTTTTCTAGAGGAACAAATAGACAGAGAATTCCATTACATGAACCAATAATACGGGAATCTCTGATAGGAAACTGGATTGCTGGCATACCAAAGTATTTACGGTTGGGACACATTGGCAATTGGTCTTCTGCATGTAGTGTATAAAAGTCTTCATCCTCGTAAAAATCTGTGTGATACTTTCGATGTCTGATCATGAGAAGTTTTTGTGGGGACCGCAAAGCGTGCATGCGGATGAAACCAGGGCTACCGATATACGAACATAAGAATTTTGGATAGTGATCTAAATCGGAGGATGGATTTTAGTGGTAATCTTGTAAAGATTCTATCAATCAACTCTCCGCATAGATAATCTGACATTGTAGAATGAATCTGCGTTTTTCCAAGTAATAAAATTCAATATTAATAGGATGTTATCCAAACCATCAAAATAATAAAGATCAGTTTCATCATCAGGGGTGGAACACAAGCATGCATTCTCACCACTGGGGGCGAAACCACAATACAAATATATCATAAATATCGATCTTGAAATTCACTAGCACATTATGATATGAAAATTTTGCACATAGCATAACATCTACTACATCAGTCATAGCATATTGGGTTATAGTCTTATGGTTAATGGGATAACCTATCATCTGACCGAGTGTTATAGCATATTGGGTTAATAGACACCCTTACTTCATAAAAGAGTTAGAGAGCAGGGCGAAAGAGAATGAGAAATGAGGTTTTCAGAAAGTAAAAAAACGATCAGATAAAGAGTAGATAGCTCGAGAGGCAAAACCTGGAGACACCGTTCAGTAGTGGCAGGTGTGGCCAATAAGGCGCGGGGAGCGGCGGTGACCGGCGGACTTCTCAGGCTGTTAGGATTCTTAATTAGTTTTTGACTTTTTGAGATTTTATTTTCTTACGGCTTTTATAAAAGCTTGATAGACAACGATTATGAGATTATGATTAAGAAAGAGTCTAAGAATGTTTATAAATGTTATGATATATTGGTGATCAGGATTTGTTGGGATTCAATTTTCAGATTTGAATTAGTATAATGTTTATCTATATCGGTTTGTTTTGGATTAAGAAGACTCTATAATGTTTTATATTTTAATTTCTTTGAGTTTGTGTTTGGGCCACCAAATGATGTGCGCCTAAATCGCATTTTTTTGGAATTTCTCAAGTTCTTGGTATAATAGTTTGACTTGGTTTGTTTAGAATCACATATTTAGTTTAACCTTTGAAAAATTGACAGATTACATTTTTCCAAATCTTGTGATTTTAGTCTATGGTCTATGTAAAAGACTATCTTGCCCTTTATACATAGTATTAATTTTTTATTTTTTATTTTACTCATTTATAGTTTTTAATAATTGAAAATTAAAATGACCGTTATTTTACTCATGCAAACACATTTATGTTCAAGCCTTAAGAAACCTCCTTGAAACCTAAGAGCTAAGTAATGTGTGTTTTCATTAAAACATGCTTATTGATGCGATTATCGTCTTCTCCTATGATCCATCAGAAAAATCAGACAAGCTCGATGTCAACGCGTCTTAGACTATGAAAAGTTCTTCTGATGAGAATAGGAGATCCTCAGTCCCGTGCTATACATTCTATATCCTTTTTGGGCGACTCAATCATAGTTCCATAGCAGATGAGAAAGAAAAGATAATAGAACTTCCGAAGGTTGAAGAGTTTGAAAGCATTTGTTTAATTAAAACTTTTCTTTTAAAGAAATTGTCGTCGATCAATATGCAAAACCTGAAAAAAGAAAAAAACCGAAAAACTTTGCTTTAGGTCTAATAGACATTTGCCAAAGTCAGATAACCAAGAGTGCAATATTGGGTGTGCTGGGGGCAGAGGAGGAAATTCTTCAGTCTCATTGGGTGGATACAAAAAAAGAAGAGGAAAGTCGACATGACTTAGGCTGCCCGGAGTGGTCACCGGTGGTTTAAGAGTGAAGAGGATGTCATGTCACTATTTACCCATTCCACAACCAATCCACTAGGTTGTGGAAATGGTATTCACTAGTGGTTATGGTGTGAAGAGGCAAAAAGAAGGAGAGAGAAAGAGAAAAAATGTGAGGGGAAGAAAATTAAACCAATCACATCAAGCGTCTTCATACGTATATGTAAAGACGTCACAGCCAAACCACCGGGGCTGGGGTGGTGTTCACGAGTCCTTGGCCTCTCCAGCTCAGCTTTTCATGCGTGAAGAGCTTTCCACTCCGGATAGCCTTATACTTTCAGTGGAGGGGTTCATCGAGGAAGGGGACATCGGGACAACGGAGCTAACAACGGTGGGGTGAGTAGGGGGTGTGGGGTGGGTGACATTTTTATATTAAAACAATAGGTCTTGACTATTTAGATAATAAATAAGTAAAAGAAAAAATATAAAAAAGATATTAAGAAGGACATAATAGTCTTTTTTGTATGAGCCAATGATCAAAGTTGTATTTTTAAAACTTGGCAAAAGTTAGACAAAATGTACGACTTTGACCCGATCACATGGACCACTTTAGTAATTTACTATAAAGATTATATATATAATAATCTTTTATAGAGAAAGCTATAAATTTCCTTATTATGTGGTTATAATCTCTATGGTTTCAAAATTGAAAATGTTGTCATTTAAGCAGGGTTTGTTGTGTTTGTCACCTCTCTATTTAATAGCCGTTAATTTATATTAGTTAAACCTTGTAAAGTTACTATTTTGCTCTCTGATTTATCTATTTTATTTTTTTATATTTATAATATAAGTTATATATATAACCCAATCCATCATCCATCCTCCATTGATCCTATTTCAACCAACCCCCGATTCCCAGTCACAACTCTCGTCACCAGCTTTCTGGCCACCATTACACAACCATCAACACTTTAGTTGAACTACAGAACTAGATGTTGAGGAACCTATGAACAATACTATGATACCGAGGTGTACACTAACATAGATAAAAGTACCTACCGGATTGTTGATATCAACTACAACCAAATACACATGTATAAGGTTTCTTCCAACATCTTGAATTACAATGATCAAGTGACTAACGTTACCATCATCAACTATGTATATAACATATTGCATTTCAAGATGTTGGAAAGCTAACTAATATAATATATGATTGATCTAACGAACTAGTTTTTTTCACTAAATATAAGAATTCAATGAAATTAAATTTGACGAAAATCTCGTAGTTCTTAACGAAAACCCTAGCATATCTTGGTTGATAATCAACATTCTCCCACTTCCTACCATGTAACGAGTTTTTGTTGATTTAATATTAATTTTACAAGTTAATATTTTTGAACTGTTACTTTCTATACCACCTCATAAAGGTGGTAACTTTTAGTCTAGGAAGAGTAAACTTCAGTTCTTGGTAAAAAATACATGGTAGCCTCCAACATCACATGAAATTGAGTTTCGTAGAATTAATTATGCACAGTTGCACACCATAAGTTGACCTACGACTTCGGTAACTCTCTTTGGACCAATTTTATATAATAAAATAACAAAAATACATTTGTTTTAATAATAAGATATAAGTGCTTTAATAAGTAAAATAAAGTAATAAACACTACTTTTTTATATTTAATCTTCGAATGATTTAAAAAGTCTACGTGATACAAAAGAAAAGATTGTTTATATATGATAACAAATGGCAGCCGTTGAGGGTTTTACAGTTTTTCAAAATAAGATATTGGCGTTTTGACGATGCTATCTACTCATCGAATCCCTCACTTAATTTATGGGTTCGACATGAAAACCCAATAGAATAGTCAATGTTGGAGCCCTTTCTTTTTCTCCCGTAATCCCAGATCACCAACAATTATGTGTTCTCATTGAGTTCCCAGAATGATTCTCCAAAGAAGATTACTAGAAACTCCAAGCGGACCTGAATGGTATTTTTGTCTCCAAAGGTAGGAGTCCACTATGTAAGAAACGCCAATCAATCTATAGCTGTTGAAGAAGAGTCGAAAGTAGAGGAGAGCGATCATGGGGCTTTTCTGTTTCCAAAACACGGTCGAAGCAAATCCCAGGAATGCAAGCAATTATGCTAACTACTTAGAAAAAGTACACACGATTAGCCTTAATTATGAATCTTTAAAATCAATCTTTGTTTCGATACATACACATATCATTGATTAGTTTGATATATTGTTTCAATTTTTCTTTTTGAAACAGAAAAATAATATATAAAATAAAAAAACCCAACTAAAGTAAGTTGCTATGAGTGGGATGATAATAGAGAAAAACAAAAACATGAGTACAAGGAAGACAAAGCAATTAAATTAAAGAGGAGAACAACTCCATTCCACCCAACTTCCCGAATTGTTGCCCCTGTATTTATGTCATTCGAACGTTTGAGATATGATTGAATCTACGGTTCTAGCTGGACAGACAACAATGTTCTTGAAAATCTTATTATTTCTTGTAATCCAAATGTTCCATAAGGTAGCGTAAAATATCATACTTAGGGTATTCTCTTTTCTACAAGTCCCCTATGTTGCAGTGTAATCAATGAAATCCCTCACCTTTCGAGCTTGCAAGTTTTTTATGTTACACCACCTCAGAATTCAGTACCAAACATCCTTAGAATAAGCACATTCTACCCGTAGATGCTTTGTAGTCTCAATGCAAGTCCCACATAGTTCACAATTTTGATTTTGGACATTTATACTCCCTATATATTAATGCATTAGCTATTTGATCCAACACAACTCTCCAAATGAAGCATTTCACCTTTTGAGGGATGAGTTTTGACCAACAAATTTGGGGTCCAATTAATTGATTGAGTTTAGCATCCAATATGCGCCCCAAAATATTGACCATGTAAACTCCATCTGTTTGAAACGTAAAACGAAATCCAACCTTGGAGACCTGACTGAAGTCTAATGTGCTGAACAGAGTATGAAATTCATGGATTTCCAAAAGGGATCCGACGTCAGTTGGGTTTGATTTCCAGTTCCATGAGAATCCAGTATCGCACAGCCGGTCCATAAGGGTACACTTTTTCACCGATTCAAGATTATACAGTAGTGGGAATCAGTTTTGTAGAGTATCATTCCCGCACCATATATCTTTCTAGAAGAGAATATCAATATTTTGACATGGTACAAGGCCAAACAAAGCAGCTGGATCGATATTGTGTAACTTGATGCTCCTAATTGCTTTGTATATGTTACTCCAGACTCCTGACCCATTTTCTTTTCTAAGATAGGTAGTCGGCTGT